AACTAAACATATTTTACAACCAGTTAGTCTTAATTTGGTTATGCTTGGTAAAATTGAGGGTGATTTTAGAGAGAAAAATTATGTTTCAATAAAAACTATAATATACATTCATGGATATTAGATTCTGGTTCCATTAATTGTCTTTGAAATTTTTATTTCATGTCTATAAACTGGACTGAATCCTAAATTCTTCTGGTCTCCTAAAAATATCTGAAATATGTGAAACAAATATTTGAAATAAATCTCCAAACTAACTTTTTCCATTTTTTCCCATCATTTTCATTTAAAATCATTGAAAACTGAACCTGCTCTTTTTCCTAAAAACTGAAGCTGGAGGACTTGATGTAAACTTAAGAGAGATTCATGCCTGCTCCTGCGTAAGCCACTCAGAAAGCTACCTGAGTGCCCAATGACACCATCAGAGACATTTTAAACCGCAAAAGATGCTTTGACCCTGACTTCTATGAATCTTGATTGGCTGTCCCCTGGGCTCAGAAACTGATTTATAATTTGCTCCAAACATTAACCTTGTTTTTTCTTTTTGTTTCTCTAGAAATACTTCTTATTAAATACCTGGTTACTTACTTACATGATACAGGGCTAACTTTGGGAACATATCTGCATCACCACCTTATTAAAAGACTGGTTCAACTAGATAAAACAACCTACTCCCCAATTCAGCAGGAAGTAGCTGGAACATAAAGTAGGGGGGAATTGAAGCCAGCCCTGATATCAGTTCCCCTACATTAAACCCAGCATATATGCAGTTAAAACCAAAAGCACTCTTTTCCTGCTTACTCCCTGGCTCCCTGGCTCCAAAATCCACTATTTGCCATGGACGCAAACAGCCAAGGTTGCCCACCTGGGTTCCATATCACCTCCTCTTCCTCCCTACAAACATTGTCCCAAGGCCAAACACAGGCTGGTGGAAAAGCTCTGATCAGCAAGGCCACTGACTCCCCCCTCTTTCGGGGAGACGAGATGAAACAAGACAAATTTGCAGGATCACTCTCATCTCCCAGCTGATGTCATCTGAAATAAAAATGCTTTCCATGCCATAAGCCGGGTGTTCCAGTTTTTATTTGGCCCCTCTTGTGTGGCAGGTAAAGAACCTATGTTTGGTGGTGGTAACAGTCTCTTACGAACCTAACTCCTACCTATGCTTCAAGGTTCAGTGAAAATATCATTCCCTAACACTCTTTACCCTGCATTATCCTCTGCGTTCCCAAGGTACATTACACATACTTTTGGGAGAGCACCTATCAGGGAGTTAGTTTGTGAGTGTGGACCCCATCTCTACACTCAGCTTCTAGTGCAATGCTTGGTGTACAGTAAGCTTTTGGTATATATATTTGGAATAGTCAGCATACTCACATGATTCAAAGTTCAAAAGGGATTATGGGGAATTCAGTGAAAAGTCTCCTTCCCTCTCCCGGCCTCCAACAACTCAACACCCCTCCCCCTCCAGGGATATTTTATGTGCACACAAGCAACTAAGGTAATTTACTTTGTTAAATGGATACAGGAACAAACAGTAAAAACCTGGAAAGATTCCAAATGTTCAAAATCTGGGACTGGCTAAGTAAGCTATTATATAACAACATTATAGACTAATGTGCAGTCATTAAAAGTCATTACAATTATTGTAAGGCAGACTCTGCCGTATATGGTATGTTAAGCTTTAAAAGCAAAGAATAAAGCAGACCTCTCCATTGAATACACTTTGTAAAAATGTGGTCTCTTCAGTGCTAGGGTGAGAGGAGGTCTGAGAGAGAAATGATTGTTGCTTTAAGGTGAAGGGATTTTGGGTTTTCTTTTACGTAAAGCTGTTTGAATATGAAAAGAAAGAGGCTGGCTGATCGTGAATCTGCCTGATGAACAAGCGTGATTCACGATGGGACTCATTCACTCAGCCAATTCATTCTGCAAACATTGAATGCTTGCTTTGTCAGGAGGAAAAATCCAGAAACAATGCTGAGCTTCTCAGGATGAGCACTATGTAGGTGATGGGAATCTGAAAAGCTCTGATGGAGCCAGAGGGGTGGGGACTGTGATGAGTTCCTTTCAAGACTGTTGAATTTGAGTTTTATTTGTTTACCAAGAGAGGCTGTGTGGTAGAGGGGAGGCTACAGGTCTGGGAGCTCAGCGAGAAGGTCAGGGCTAGCGCTGGCCCGCAGGGCAGTTGGCCAGGGCAGCCGGAGATGGGCTGGGCTGGAGTTCACCCAGGGAGAAGGTGGACAAGGAAAGAGAAGACGGATTACATGAGGCTGGTGAGAAGGCTTTCTGCCAATCTCTCAATGCCTGAACCAGGGCCCAGGGCAGCATGGTAGCAGAGGCGGTGTCTGTTGCTGAGTGTTGAAGGGCCTCAGAGTTCAGGCAGAAAACTTTCCTCCCAGCCTCCGGCCTCCAAGGCTCATGCACCCATCGCCTGGGTCTGGTCTTACTTGTCCAGAAAGGCCTGATGGACCAACGGAGTCTTTGTCTGGCTTAGAAAATATGTAGGAACCCGAGTGAGAGACTGGAGTAGAGGGTTTAAAGGGTCTACTTGAATGAAGATCGACTAGGGATGAAAGGGGAGAGCAAGTGGGCCTGGCATTAGGAGCAGGGATGCTCCCCTGCAGTTTGAGGGATGTAGGGCCCCAGGAAGGGGATGTTTCCGAGTGAGTGTTTTCCCCTAGTGAGCAGGGCTCAGACATGCCCCCAAAGGGCCCGGCAGGCAAAGCTGGTGGAATTGTTACTCAAAACTTGGACAGAGAAAGAGGCGTGGTTATCCCCAGAGCAGCATGCCACCAGGGTGTATTGCCCAGTTGGTATGTCCTCTGTGCTTTGTACTTCCTAGAGAGGCAGTGGACTGGAAGGGCGTGGCTGTAGAGTCAGGCCGACCTGGAATCCAGGCTCAGCTCCACCACTTAGGGCTGAGTAACCTTTGAGCAATCACTTCTTTGAGCCTGAGTTTCCTCATTTACAAATTGAGGCTATAATAATATCTAACTTGGGCTGTGTTGTGAGGATTAGAAATGATGTAAAGCTCCTAGTATATAGTAGGTGCTCAATACATGGCAGCTATTATTTTTATTTGTGCAACCACACAGCAATAGGCTGCCCTAAGTTATTGCTGAGTTGTATTCTCTTTGAGGGATTTATTGCCAGTTGGGACAAGAAGCTGAAATCTAAGACTTTGTTCACCATCCTTTCACATACATTTGTCAAAGGTGGCCTGGCAGGTCACCTGGGTCACTTGTAAACATGTAAAAACCAGTTCTCAGTTTCCACTGCATGTAACAATTCTCTCCTTTGCTGTTCATCTCAGCACACAAACAAAAAGCGTTTCGCAAACCTTTTTGCTGATGGTGATATACAGAAGATAGATTGAGAAAGTATTAGAGGGGCAGGGGTTAAACAAACTTGTGAAACACTGACTAAAAGCAAATGCATCCCCTTCTCTGTCTCCCTAGCTTACCAACAGCCTACTACTCTTACTCCCCACTCTTGTGCTGTGTTTTATAACTGTTCAAAGTGCTTCCACATATTTGATTTCATTTGCTCCTCACTCTGGCCTGTGAGGTTAGTAGGGCAGATGTTGTGTCTGCTTCTGGGAGGGGCTAAGATGACGACAGAGCTGGGATTAGAACCCACGTCTTTTTGTTACGGAACATGAGTAAACTGTGTCAGGTTAAGCTGTACCTTGGACAAATGGGTTAAAAGTATTCTGTGAGGCAATGATGTGCAGGTGTTGGAGAGCTGTTTTGCAAGGAGACAATGGTACCAATACCATGGTGCTGTAGGATGTCCAACAGAGATGGGTGCACTGTGTCTGTTATGCTGATGAGCAAACTGGAGGCCCAGAGTCTGCAGAGGAGGACTTGGAGTTTGAATGACAGAGAGAGAGAGATTTAGTTTCAAAAGTTTCTCCCTTTTCAAGTTGTTTTAAATGCCAGCAGTGACACGGGTGACCTGGCCCAGGGTCACCCAGCTAGGGAGTGGCAGAGCCTCTTGAATTGAGAATCTAACTCAGGACTCTTAACTCCAACTTCTTGGGCTTGAAATCAGCTCATTCAATCCCCTGCCCTTTGTTGAGAGGGACAAGAGTGGGAAGGGCAAATTATCGCATAAAGGCGGTATAAGAAATAGTGCTCGGTATTCACCTTTTCCAAATCTAATTGGCCTCCACGTAAGAGCTATTGAAGGCAAATATTTTGACTACAATGATATGTTTGCACGTTCTGCTTATTAGCTGTGACTGAAGTCACTCATTTCATTTCCCCAAGCCAGTTTCCTTCTCTGTAAAACGAAGACATCATCTCCTGCCTGACAGGTGGTGAGGATGAAATAAGCAGCATTACGTGAAGGAATTTTGTAAACTATGAAGCTGTATTATTATGTGTTGAAAGCTTTGAGTCCTCACTTACTGGAGTCCACCAAACCCAGCTCACTCTAGGACCCTGAGAGGCCTGGACCTGGTGGGGGTAGAAAAGCTGGTTTTCTTTTGGTTTCTCTGGCAGTCAGGCCAGGAGTCAGGAGAGGAAAATGGAGGAAGATGGGTTTGCTCACCATCTGTCTTCTCATTGCCCAGCTGAGGAGGAAATGGTGGGGGAGCTGGCATAACCTTTTCTTTGGTGAGTCAGCTAAGAAGGAATTTCTAGAGCTCCAATGATGTGTAAGCAGTGGTTTGGGTTTGGATTTTTGAAGCTGCTTCCTTTTTTTCAGCAGCTTTAAGATACATAACTAAAAGCACAAGCAATTGGGAAGCACATGGAAAATGACAGAAGCACAGCGTCTCACTAGTGTGAACTTGAAGAAATCAGCTTGTCTGGGCCTGTTTTCCCATCTGTGAAATGGGGACAATGCTGCCTATGTTGCAGAGTCATTATATTAATAGAACGTGCAAGTGCTGGGTCCAGCACCTGGCACGGAACAGAGACCCAATACGTGTCCATTTCCTTTCCCTTCCTAGTGGACAGTCTGCAGTCATTGAGTTCAGATGAAAAGAAATCACTTACTCTTCAGTTGCTTGAGTCTATCATAACGGCTGCCACTATTCGTTTAATTGTCACACCACCACCACGAGCCAGCACACCTACAGACATTGAGGAAACAGAAAAGCAATTCAGAGTTCTACTGCCCAAGGTCACAGAGCTTGCGATTTTTAAAGCCAGAATTCAAACCCACATTGTCTGGTTTGCCTCCTAGATATCAGAATGTGTGAGGAGGCTTAATCAGGCTGGATCTTCTGGAAGGCCCATCTTTAAATAGACTCAGACCAAGGGGTTAGCTCCATCCTGGCCCATTTTGATAATGAACTCAGGGTGGAGTTTTAAGGGCAGAAAATAGGCCACTGCTAGAGGCAGTCTGGCAATAATTAGAAGAGAGCTAAAAATGAATGGGTGCTTCCCAAATCCTCGGGGAATTTAATCTGTGCTTTACCAGTTTCAGGGGCTTCTGTTGTGGAGGTGAGATGAGTCCTTTATTAAGCATTACACAAATATATTATTGGTAGTCTTCTGTCATCTCCCACTAAACACAACCTCTTAATCATCACCCGACAGCCCTCCACTTACCATCCTATAAACAAGAGGGAACCGAGTCTCCTTTTCAAACCCCTCCACTAAACTAGACTACAGAAGCTAGAATAGGAAGGCTGCGTCATCTTCCTGTTAAAAGAAAACCTAAGTGTACCAAAGCCATATAGAACAAAAGTATGTTTTCTATACAGACCATTTGTTTCAACACATGGCTGCTTTTTCAGAGTATCAACCCAAGAGCTGAGGACATGTCTTCTCTCTACTGCAGAAAGTAGGTAACTTCCAGTGCCATCTGTGCCCTCCTCCTCCTCCTCCACACTCAGTTCTCAGCATGACTGCAGGCACCTTACTAACCAGCAAAGTGACCTCATGGCACATTTACCACATCGGACTGTGCCAGGTATGACACAGCACAGGCATGGAGGGCCAAAATGCTCTTAGGGCGAGCCATTTAAGAGCTAGGCTACAGCCTGAGCTGCTCTTGCCCCTAAGGGTTATGGCAAATAATTCCATGAGTAGAGGCCGTGGCCTCAGACTCATACACAGGATGGCTCTCATAGCGCTGTGGGGGATCAGAATTTGCACCCCAAAATGTGTCTCTTTGGCTTGGTTGTTTTTAAGAACAAAAGACTCTGCAGGAAACTTTGACCTTCCCTCTAACTGCCTAAAAGAATTTAAGATAAAGGGCCTGTTCCAGGAAGGAGCTAATAGCATAAGATAACTATAGTATAATGTAAACTAGGTGTGGTAGACAGGAAGGCACTAGCAAGCCTATTTATAGCAAAGTTCTCTCTCTCTCTCTCTCTTTCTCTCTCTCTCTCTCTCTCTCGGGTCCAATTGCCCACAGATGGCTCAGCAAACATTTGTTTACCAAACATTTGCTTTTCCATCTCTGTGTGAATTGTCTTCCTCCCTTTTGAAGTCCCAAACCACCCATCCCCAACATCCTCCTTTGTCTTTAGCTGAAGATGGTATCTAAGGTGGTGGCTTTGGCCATTCTGGCAAGTTACTCAGTTTTCCTGAGTTTCTCCCATGTAGACGTGTTATTAAACTTCATTGTCTCCTGTTATTCTGTCTCATAACAATTTAATTCTGAGGCCAGCCAGAAGGACCTAGAGGGGAGAGGAATAGTTCTTCCTCCCCCACAGCACCTTACCTGCTTCTCTCATTTCTCCTGGCCAAGGCATTAAGTCTAGGTAGACAGGGTTGTTATGGTCCATTCATGTACAGCTATAATTCCTAAAAATAGTGCTGTGTGGCAGGGAAAGTCCTGGCTTTTGTGCTCACCCCCGTAAAGCAGAGTGTTGAATTATTTCACAGTGCTGGGGTAGGAAGGAGAAAGCTCCAGCTGGTCTGGGCAGCTGTAATGTTGGGAAATTCACTGCCCAGACCAAAGGGAGATGACCAAGATCTCTCCATAAACCCAGGGACACACGGCTGACTTCCCCCCCACAAAAAAAGAAGCTCATAGCCATATTTCTGCACAGTCTCATGTAATAGAATGGACGTTTATTATTTTTTAATGAGAATTCATACAGTCATTGATTATACAAAGCCATTTCTCAGTACTTTTCTTTCCACTTAAGAAAATGGAATACACCATGATGAGGATGATAATGCCAAAACAAGACTGCTGGCTCATCATCTAGGATACAAATACACATTTAATTCTCTGACACTTTATTGAATGAAAAGCATGATTAAGCATCTAGGTTTTTGTTGCACACAGCTGAAGCAGGAGCCCAGGGAGGGGAAGACCACAGAGCCTTCCTTGGCAGGGAAGCTGGTGTGCCACTATCATCGCATCTTGTTGTGGGACAACTAACCCATGTTCTGTCGGTTGCCATAGCCCCTAGGGTGGGTGTCCTTCCAGTCATCCCACTCCCGAGCTCTGTAGAGGGTTCCGTCATCATCCTCTTCCTCCTTTTGTTCCTGATCTTTCTGGTGCTGAGCTGCTCTTTTGAACGCTGACAAAGTGGAAAAGTGAGAAAGCCGGGGTGAGAAACTGAGGGAATGTCTGGGGCCTCAGCTCCACTCTGAGCACAACCACATAAAATGGGGACAAGGAATCTAGCTGCCCACCCTGGGGCCAGCAGAAGTGGGGACAGTACTTATATTCCTTAACAGATGACATGTCAAATAACAGGAAGAAAGGATGCTGAGTGGTTTTCACAAGAAGACAAAAACATGAAAGTTGTCCCTCAGAATGAATTCTATTTTGAGAAAGAATTCTTGCTAAAATGGCCAACATCCCCACCCCAAACAAAAAACAAAAACAACCAACCAACCAACCAACCCACCCCGAGCAAAGCAAAAACACTAATGTAAAAAATATTTAGGATTCTATGATTTGTGATATGCCAGGGAGGTGGGACTACAGGTGACTTTTTCTCCTCCATCCCTTTCCTTCATTATAGTTATACAATTTTCTGTGTGTGTAAAATTGGAAAACACGGGGCAGTGGAACTTACTGGAAAAGAATATCTGTGTTATTTTGTATGTGTTTGGAACAGGGTCTGAGGTCCAAATGGCATTTGTCATGCAGTGTACACCCAGAAGAAATTAAACCAACTGCTCTCTCTCTTTTGCATTAACTTTTTTCCTTTGCAAGGTAAAGGAGCGTTTCCTGGCTACCCTGAGTTTGCCCATGAGAAGTATTCTCATTACTATGATGAAGAATGAAATACGTGGGGATCTGATCTAACAACTTGGGAGTCTTGTGTTCTCCTGTTTTTTTAACCCTGTATTGTAAAATACAAGACACTAGAAATCACACAAAAATATATGTAACAAGTTTTTATAAGAAGGCTATACCTTCATAGCCTCCACTTGGGTCAAGAAATACATCTTGTACCCATCTCAAAAGCCTCTCCAGGAGCATCTTCCAAATCATGACTCCCCCCTGCCCCCAAAGGTAACCACTATACCACCTTTCATCGTAATAATTTCCTGGAGTTTATCATAGCTTTATTACCCAAGTGTGCACCCCTAGACACTAGGGCTGTCCATCTGTATGTTCATTTGTTGCTCAATGATTTTTAGTACAGAGTTCTGCAACCATCACCACAATCCAATTTAAAAAACTTCTATCACCCCAAGAAGGTCCCTCGTGCCCATTTATAGTTAACCCCCATTCCTTCTCTGCCTCCAGCCCTGGCAACCACGAATCCACCTTCTGTCTCTACAGATTTGCCTCTTCTGGACATTTCCTATAAACCGAACCAAGCAGTATGTGGTCTTTGGTGTCTGACTTCTTTCATTTAGCACAATGTTTTTAAGGTTAGTTTTGCCCATTTAAAAATATTTTGATATCTTTTGAATCTACATGTTCCTCTTCCCTCTCTCTCTTTCCTTACAAGTTATCTACTGAAGTAGCTGGGGCATTTGACCTGAGAGCTTCCCCAAATCTGGATTTTGCTGATTGCATAGTCATGATGTAGTCCAACTGTTCTTCCGTATTTCCGCAGACTGGCAAGCGGACACAGAGGCTGCATCTGACTCAGAGGTCATCTCTTCGGCATGATTCTAGGTGGTGCTGTGTTCTCTCGTCAGGTGACACATAACATCTGTGTCTCATGTGTGGTGATGCTAGCCGCTGTTGATGCTGAATGCCTAGATTCAATAATTTTCTAGGGCTTCCAGGAAGGTCATACCCTTAATTTTAACATTCTTTTTTATTAACTAGAATGCTTTTATAAAGAGAGGCTTCCCCTCATCTACTACTATTTAGTTACCCGGGAAAAAAACAAGATAAATACTCGATTCTTTTACTTTATGTACTACTTAAGATAATAAATTGGTTTGTTATCATCCTCTGAAATGGAACAATTCTTGTTTTTAAATATAATTATGTACTCATGGATTTAAACATATTTGATGGGCTTCAACCAACTGCAATGATTTCTAAAAATATATTCAAATGAACTTTTAAATTTTAGAATAGTTTTAGGTTTACAGAGAAATTGAGAAGATAGTATAGAGAGTTCCTATACATCCGTACCCAATTTCCCTGATTTTTAATATCTTACATTACTATGGGTTATGTGTCACAAGAAACGAGAAACGAACCAATACTGCTGTGTTACTAACAACTAAAGTACATACTTCATTTAGCCTAGGTTTGACCTAATGTCCTTTTTCGGTTCCAGGATCCCATCCAGAAGACCACATTACATTTAGTCCTGTCTCCTTAGTCCCCTCTTGGCTGTAACAATTTCTCAGACTTTCCTTGTTTTTATGACCTGAACAGTTTTGAGGAGTACTCCTCAGGTATTTTGCAAAATGTCCCTCAATTTGGGGTTGCCTGATGCTTTTCTCATAGTTTGACTGGGGTTATGGGTCTTGGAGGAGAATACTGCAGAGGCGAAGGGCCCTTCTCTCCACATCAAATCAAGGCTACACAGCATCACCATGACTTACCGCTGCTGCTGTTTTACCCAGAATCACCCGACTAAGGCAGAGGTTTTGCCAGGTTCCCAGCTGCCAAGGCCCGCCTCCTGCACCCTCCACACCACAGTCTCTGGCGGAAAGTCACTAGACACAGCCCGCACCTCAG